GACAGAGAGAAGGAAGAAGTAAGATGTCCCCCGACAAACTAAGCCTATATCAGCAAAACTAGGGGCTGAATCTAATCAGCCCTAACTATAAGCTTTATCAAAAAGGAAGGTCTTAAGCGCACTCTTAAAAACGGATAGGGTGTCTGCCGCCCGAACACAAACTGGAAGCTGATTCCACAAATGTGGAGCTTGATAAGAAAAGGCTCTGGCTCCCATTGTACTTTTAGAGACTCTAGGAACAACCAACAACTCTGCATTCTTGGAACGCAATGCCCTAGTAGGACAGTAGGGTATAATGAGTTCTTTAAGGTAAGATGGCGCCTGCCCATTAAGGGCTTTGTAGGCGAGAAGAAGAATTTTAAATTATATCCTGTGTTCTATAGGAAGCCAGTGTAAGGCAGCCAGAACAGGAGTAATGTGGTCCCTTTTCCTAACTCTGGTTAGTACACGAGCTGAGCAAGCTTCAGCAACTTTGAAGCTTGTAACGGCATAATTACAAGCGGAGAACGGAGTAACTTAACGTGACAGCAGGCATAACAACAGCCGGTGTTTCTCGTGAGGGTTTTCCCCGGGAAACAAACGCAATACACACAAACGCAAAATTACACAAACACACACACGTATACACACACAACACACACTTCCCCCAGACCAGTAATCCAAACGAAAATATCTTCCCTCCGTAGTATTTTGATCATTTGCTCCGCTAATCAATCAGATCGATGGATTCCAGAGAAGAGAAAACTTTGAAGGCCTTTTTCTCAAAATGATGACTCGGTGACAGTCATTATATAATGTGACATATTTCGCTTAATATTTGGAGTACAAAAACAATCCTGATATCATTAGAAAGCTAGGAATATCCTCTTTCCAACAGTGTATACAACTCAAAATGTGTCTTCGGGTCAATGCGACTGATTTCGATAGAGCAGGTCACATATGTTGTAGTGCACTGTCACAACCTAGCAAAGCTAACTAATATATTTTTTTCAATTATGTTGTTTTTGTAATTGTGGCAGGCCAAAATCGTAATTGCGATTAAAATAGGATTAGTTGCACAGCCCTAACACACACACAAGCACACAGAGTGTGGATGGTTCCAATGGATCCAATGGATTTCGGATCCTTAACAGCTATGCTGTGCCCATGTATAGAATCATTTTACAGTACTATGTCCATCCTCTGTTAGTGACTGACAGGATGACATAAGAAAATGAAGGTCCACAGTGTTAACATGTAGAATACAAGTTTACCTAGAGGCCATTTTATGATTACCCTGTCAGTGTGCTGTTTAGTTAGCTATTTAGCTAGCAAACATTAGCTGGGTGATTCTCATATTTTAAAGCAATGAATTAATGTAAATGAATGTAAAACTAAATATATATATATTATTTGTCCTGTTTCCTTAGACTAAAATGCGCAAAGCGGCACAGGATCTGTTGGCCATACTGAAGGCAGAAGCGAGTGGCGGTATGTTTTATATATTGTATTTATTTTGACTTGGATACTGGAGGACATTGGCAGCTTGGAAACTTTATATGTTAGCCTGTGTATAAAAGCAGAGATGTAAATATTAACTCAAAGCATTCTACCTGAGGTAACGAACATGTTTGGTATTTGTGTATAACCTATGAATATAGCCCATAAATGTTACGTTTTTGACATCATGTAACCTACATCATGTTTAATGAAAACTGAAGACCAGGGACAGGGAAAGCAGACAGCAGACAGTGCAGGAACACCAGCAAACCCTGCTTGTTCGTGCAGGGAGTTCTGTTCTGGACCAAATGACCATGTTTGAATGTTGTTATATATACAATTCCCATGTTAGCCTAGACCTGTTATTTATGTTATTCTTATTGAAATTAGATAATCATTATTTATTACCTTCTTTTGAAAGGATTCAAGCCAGGGAAATATACAATTATTTCTTAAATAGTTCTGTTAAACTTTAAATGTCATCTCCACCCTGTCTTTCAGGTCTTTTCCTGGACTATTCCGGTCAAACAAAAACGTCAGATCCTTTCCCAAAAGTGCAAAGAAAAGAACAGGCCCTAAAACTGTTCGTGTTCCATTCTTCTTCCTCGCCTCTTCCTCCGAGAAAACCCCTAAGCCCTCTGAGGAGCTTATTCTCTTGCAGGCTGGGCTGGGAAGAAGGTCTGCACATGTCCCGGCGGATGCTGACCATAAGAAGGTAAATATGACTCTTTGGTTTTATAAGAGCAACAAAATAAAATTGGAAAAGAAAGTGTGTTCTCACAATCACTTTATCAGAAAGTTACATATTTTAGTGTTAAGACTGATATCATAATGAGTAATGTGTATCCAACAGGCATGCAAACTGTCTAATACAGTTAAAGAACATTTTGTTAACCCCTATTTGCATTCATTCTAATCAATAGATTACAAATATCCTTTGTGAGGTCTACCCCAAGATGGCTGAGCTTGAGGGAGCCTGGCTTATACACAAGGCTACGGGTAAAAAGCAGAAGATTCTATTTGTATTTTATTTATTACAAGCTGATTTAAGAATGTTTGTAATAAAAGTAATTGATTTGAAATGTATGAACCTTCCAACGTATAAGAGAAATATATGTTTCAACCCCAACAGGAGGATCTGGTCAAATAAAGTTGTGTGTAATATCCCCGGAGGAGGAGGGCTACTCAGGGGCCAGTCTCGTGAAGGCCTTGGGAGGCAAGGGTTGCCTCTACATAATGCCCATCCAGCACACTTTGGACACTTCTCCCTTGGCCCTCACCGCACCAGAGTTCGAGAGCATGCCAAAGGCACGGTGCATGACGTGTTATAAGGATGTGCCTTTGCAGCTGCTTGTACAGAGTTGTAGGCCGGAGCAGATATCTGGCCCAGAGCTTGATGTCCCTTTTGAGGTAAGGCATGCTGAATGAAACATAAATTGTCTGTTCTGCCTGTTTGATGTACAGATGTTTAAAATATGTCAGCACAGTTCCCATCAGCCTATCCCATACTTTGTAATAACATTGTTTTTTGGTAACTCTATCTTATAACTCCTGTTATTGTTTGATGTTTGCTCTTATAGACCCACACAGATGAGTCTGATGATGATGTCCAGTTTCTCAACACCACAGAGGACTATGACAATCAAGTAAGCAATCAAAACTTAGGTTTCATCCTTGTTAGTATTATTTCATACGTTTGAGCATCCAAACGCATGATGTGAATTAGTAACAGTGACATTTTATAGGTGTCCACTGATAAGGCAACATCATCGGGTCATAAGGTGAGGAAACTACAGTGCTACAATACAGGCCTTTCTTTTTAGTATATATTTTTTAAATACTTTTTTGTGTCTTAATGGAAAAAATGTTTCCTGTGCTTTGTATAACATGTGATCTTCTTTTTTTTGTTGTAAATGTTTTTCTCTTATGTCACAGGTTGCTTGTCCGGTGTGTGGAGAACTCTTTTCACAGGCGGTCATAAATATCCATGGAGAATGCTGTGGGGTTACAGAGGAAAGGTAAAAGTATTTTCAATAAATGCATGTCTAACATTGTTGTATGAATTCCTTGTGCATTTGGATTTGCATTCCTTTGTAGAGTCACTTTATTTGCCCCCCTTTTAGTGAGGCCATCCTACATTTGAACATTTGATGGATTCAGGTTTCATTTATGGATATTTAAAACATGTTACATCTTTCCAGCGTCATTAATGAGGAAGTGCCAGAGCCAAGCACCACTGACCGGACCAGACCAGGGCAGAGCAGGTATGCAGAAAATCTATTGCGAAGAGATTATGTTTACCACCAGAGCTGAATGTTTTAAAATATTGTTTTTCTTTGATGTAGCTTGTCAGACCTCCTGGACAACCTCAAGGGGAAAATAGACAACTCAAAAATGTTTAAAATAAATGTCACAAGGGAAGATCTACTTCAGAGGGGCCTGAAACAGTGGGCGAGGCAGAAACAGGCCTCCCCAGAACACCATCATTGTCTCCTTCATTGGAGAAAATGGTATCGATCAGGGGGCTCTGAGGAAATAATTCCTCACTGGTATGTGGTCCCCGTTAAGGCTGACACCATTCGTTAAGTGCAAATGTCCTATGTTGCCAATGTGAATAATCTTGAATTTCTTCTTTCCTCTTTACAGAAATGGTCCGGGCAATTGAGTCAAGATTTTTTGAAGGGGACGAACGGGGAAAAAACCCAAAGTACAATGTGTCAGCATATCAGGACAACACGTTCAGGTATGTAGCGCTATGTATTGTATGGTAGTCATTGTATTTTTAAATTGTGGGTAAGGGTAGATAGCTCCCATTGTTCTGTGACCTGTCAATCATCAAACCGGGGGTCATATTTCATTATGTGTTCATTTGTATCTGAAGTTGTAACCATGGATGTATAAAGAAGAGTTCGACCGCAAAGTTATTCTCCGTGGGGACTTCCGGCAACAATCTTGATTCTGATTGGCCAGAAGACTGAGTAGCATGAAGCTGCAGCGTCGGAGACGACACTTGTAGAACCACACACACAGGTCCCGCGTCACGAGCACACACACAGGTCCCGCGTCACGTGACGGGAACCACACAGGTCCCGCGTCACGTGACGGGGTCCCACGTGACCCGCGTCACGTGACGGGAACCATATTCTGTTGCACGTTCACATGAATGTTTATATGTATATTCTGTTAATTTAGTTGAGAATTTCAAAAATGAATTTCAAAAATATAGTCTTTTATATGTATATTAAACAACACTGTTAATTTAGTTTTGGGTATGTTTATAATTCTCGTTTCATTATTATTCAAAAGAAAACAACACTGTTAAACACTGTTCCTTCTACAGTATCATAATTCTCGTTTCATTATTATTATTAATAAATCAAAGGTGTCTTCGAAGAGGTGCTAGATTACTGAAAAACAACTGTTAGTGTGTTCATGCACCAGCCTGCAAAAGATAAACAAGCAGTTTGACCGAGAGGCATTTCAGTTCAGAATACATTTTTATTGCGGGGTCTGCTGATTCTTCACTGGGGGTGAGGCGGGGTCTGCTGATTCTTCACTGGGGGTGAGGCAGGGTCTGCTGTTCCCTCTCTGGTCGTGGCACTCTGAATATTGGCTGAAGGGTTCCCTCCAGCAAATGGAGGATACATATTTTGTTGTCTTCGGGGTTCCAGTTTTCGAGTACACAGATAAAGGGACGTGGTTACATTTGGCAAGGTTTTGCCGAACGAGGCAGAGGCTCTTTTATCTTCACCAAACCATTTGTTGCTGAAGGGTTCCCTCCAGCAAATGGAGGATACATATTTTGTTGTCTTCGGGGTTCCAGTTTTCGAGTACACAGATAAAGGGACGTGGTTACATTTGGCAAGGTTTTGCCGAACGAGGCAGAGGCTCTTTTTATCTTCACCAAACCATTTGTTGTTCACCATCTCCGTTAGAATATCTTCATCAAGCTCAATAGGGGAGGCATAGGATGAACAGTAGGTTATGGATTTTAAATGTGTACATTGATAGGCTTTAATTCCACTCCTCCATGCCAACTCCAGGTTCACCTGGCACTCATTATTTTCACAAGACACATGCTGATTTTCTCCCCACACTTTATTCTGAACATGCAGAGGAATACTTGTTCCATGGAAGGCTTTGTGGACAGCATAGACTCCATGTTCAGGATCTATGCATTCACTCGGTAGGTGTGAACTTGCGGTTATGTCCTTTTGTTTGGCAGAGTGCTTTCTTTCCATGTGCCTTTTCAAAAAAAAATTATTCATGAGAACATGGCATATGGGACATTTTTTCTTGAGTACAGGCTCTACACGGACCCTTTGCATCTTTCGCACTGGGATGATGGGGATTGCTGGATCTGGGATGACGGGCGTTGATGGATCTGGGATGATGGGGATTGCTGGATCTGGGATGATGGGGGTTATGGCAGAGTGCTTTGCCTTGCACAAAGCGAGGTGCTTTACAAAGCCAGATTTGCGAGTATGCATGGATTGGCAGTAGCAGCAGTGAAAATGATAGTCTGGTCGGCAATTTAATCGACATCTGTGAATGGTATACCCTTAAACATAAGAACATAGAATTGTAGTATTATTATTTTGTGATCATATTATTTAAAAGTGTAAATTATGAATACCAAACATCTGGATCAAGTAACTGGTCACCACAAACAAATCATAGGACTTGTTTTGATGTATTGCTCAAATGGAACTGATCATAACATTTAGGCTGCTTTTAATGCAGACACATTGCAACTCCATTTGCATTTCACAAGAGAATGTAAGCTAACTTTACCTTCATGGAGAACTGCACGCTGGAAGTGGCTCTCGAGATGGCTTTTCACCTTGCAGTGTTTTGTTGGAGAGAATAAACGAGAGACACAGAACGGGCAGTGGAAGTCATTGCAACACGTCGTGCACCGTTGAAGGTCCGGCAAGGATCTCCCCTCTCGGATTGTAATATGCATCTTGAAAAAGAGAGATCCTAATTGGTCAAACTGAACATTTTGAAACAATTTCACAGACAGACATAAATTAGGCTTAATTGTTAGATTCTGACACGACAGATTCTAACCTACAGAATAGGCCGACATAACTGACTAAAACACCTCATGCAATATTACAAAACATGTCAAAATGATGACACTGTCTGATAAACGGTAAACAGGCAGTCAGCACAGTGAAGATTATTTACAATGAATTCAAATTGTAATACAATGACTATTAAAGAAGCATTTACACTGAAGACAGAACTTAGGCTACTGCTGATTTAATGTAGTGGACATATTGACATGCTTTTGTCATCCGTTGAAGTTTAATTAATTAGCTGACTATAATGAATCATTAGGGTTGGGAAGTTTACTTTTTTAAATGTAGTAGGTTACAGATGAGTAATTACCCTGTTACAAATGTAATAAGTAATGTAACTTGACTATGTAACTATTTGTATTGAAATTCTAATGTTAATTATGGTTATTTTATGTTTTTTGTGAGTCACTTTGGATAAAAGCCTCTGTCAAATAACATAACCATAACATACAGTTTCATTAAACAAATAAACAAAATGGTTAACAGTTGGTTTTGCAGCGAGTCATCATAGGCTAACAGATGACATTTAGCACTTGTTGCTGGTATGGCTGTTCAATACAACAGAATAGTTGTTAACTTAAAAAAACAAAACATGATTCACATTACTCACACTATTACTGTAATTAGTGATTCAATTAATCAACTATGACACCTAGTTGGGTTTGCCAAAATCACGCTAGTTTCATTAAACAAATGATCAAATATGCTAACGAAGCTAATGCTTTTGCTAATGCTTTTGCCGAAAGCTATAGCTAATGAATAGTTGTTTTTAGAGACTTTAATACGGTTAGAAGCTATCATAAGCAAACAGATGTTTGTTTGTATTGCCTTAACACTATCATAGTTAATGTTGGCTAATCACACTTCATTTCAAGACACCGGAATTGTTATTAATGTTAAACAAATAAAACTGTAAAAGCACTTCACATTACTCACATTCTCTGCGTTGACGTTCACATTCATGTGAACGTGCTCCGTCACGTGCCGCCGTGACGCGGGACCTGTGTGTGTGCTCGTGACGCGGGACCTGTGTGTGTGGTTCTACAAGTGTCGTCTCCGACGCTGCAGCTTCATGCTACTCAGTCTTCTGGCCAATCAGAATCAAGATTGTTGCCGGAAGTCCCCACGGAGAATAACTTTGCGGTCGAACTCTTCTTTATACATCCATGGTTACAACTTCAGATACAAATGAACACATAATGAAATATGACCCCCGGTTTGATGATTGACAGGTCACAGAACAATGGGAGCTATCTACCCTTACCCACAATTTAAAGTAAGTCACACAGACTATCTCCTCTTTGCTCTGGAAAACAAACAATGGCATACAAATATTATTAACATGTCGGGTAGTAATACATCTATTTATTTTCTTCTCAGAGTGTACCAGAATGCATAGTTTATGTTAGTATTTCTAAAAATCTCCTGGGGGAGAATCCCCCCGAGATCCCCCTGCTGGGGTTGGGTTTTCAGCATGCGTGCCTTTTTATATAGTTCAGCTTTGATTCCATCATCTCATTAAACCTTTTTTAAAAGCATACTTTAGTTCTGTGAAGGGATATAAGGGATATATGCACTGTACTTCACTTTTATTAATATTGTATGCTGAAAAGCGTATATATTACAGCACGTTTTTTTGTTGAATAGATTTGAGTGTTTCAAAATGTTGGGTCGCGATGTATTGACCAAGTAAAAAGTGGGTCCCGAGTCCTGACCAGTTGAGAACCAGTGTTCTAGAGTATGTCAGTTATTGAATTCACAAATTTCTTCAGCTGTGACCAATTCTGTCTTAATTCATACAGTATGTTTGCATTAGTGTTACACTCATGGCTCAGGCTCCTCCCAATCCTGCAGCAGTTGCGAGACGGACTGGCCCTCTACGGGTTGGATGAGCTGCTGGTAGAACAGCCACTGTTGTGCCAGCAACTGTTTGTGCCAGGCAGCCTTCAGGGAGTAAGTACATTCATTAAATATTTCCCAGATTTCCATAGCTTATCCAGTAATATAGAGTAATGAACTACAAAACATCACATGAAAACAAAAATGATTGTAATAATTAAATTAACCGAACCACACCTCAGAGGGGTATTTGTTTCATTTTTTGTTTTTGTTTTTTTAAAGGTGGATGCTGATTTCTTGATCCTTGCACTGTCACCTGAATACAGCCCAGAGGGGTCAGTCAGGCGGCAGTGCGAGATGAGGATAGTTAATCTTCTGCAGGACTACCTGCAGGAGCTGGAAGACAAAGGTGACACTTTTTCAATTTTACATATATGTGTGTCTGTCAAACTTAATACTATTTGCACAATGTAGACCTCTTATTGGGGCACACTCATCAAGTCATTTCTAGTTTGATTATCCTGCATTTCCATGCTGACTTTACTTTTTGGTATTGCTGTTTTGAAGGAGAGTAGAATCCTAAGTAGTCCCAGGAGGAAGATTTGAATACATGCAGCGACATCAAGCCTCCAACTGTCGACACCTTTTGTCAGTGGGTAACTGGCCAGGCCCACGTCCCTCTGGGGGAGGCAGAGAGGAGAAACTTCAGAGTGACTGTACACTTTGATCATGAGTGTCATCTTAAGTATGGGGAACATGGAGTGTGTTACCCCATAGTTAATGCTTGCTCAGCTGCCATCACAATTCCTACACGCCACTTTGAAAAGGCGAGTGAATTTGAGGTCAACATGACCGAGGCAATCCTTGCTGGGTTTGAATTTAACCTGCACTAACTAAACCGTGTCATCCTACCAGCATTATTATTGTAAATAGTTTAAGAAATGTAATAGCATTATTTCATAAAAATGCTTCTCTGGCCGTTGGAATATATCTTTATTGTTTGCTTGTTTTTATCTTTATTTTGTCCATTCTTATAAATCTTTTTGTTATATCCAATAAAGACAACACATTTGACAGTGGCCCTTTTTAGTTTATTAGAGCAAGCCGTGTGGCAGCAGGTTTTTGTTCCAACAGAGCAAGAGCACACCTTATCCAACAAATCAACATGTGACAGTTCAGTTGACAGAATCAGTCGAGTCAGGTGTGTTCCTGCTTTGTTGAAATGAAGACCTGCAGCCAGACCCTTTGTCTCAGCATGACTGAAGATTTAAACCAGGTAAGCACGGCAAAGGAGGTATTGGTTTATTGTTGCTTCTTCAGTTTGTCCTTCATTTTCATCCATTAGACACTGAAGCTCTGCTCGCTGCTGTTCATCCAAGGGGTACTGAAATTCTGGGACCACTACCACCCCATCCACATCTTCTCCATAATCTGCTGCAACATCCCAGTCAACTTCTGGCTCTTGGATGTCCTGAAAGTTGAAAAAGACAGAGGCTATCAATATAAGAGAACAAGTCAACCTGTACGGCTCTGCATTTTTATGAATTTATATGTAGTCCAGTTACTAGCTTAGAGTTTACAATAATAACACATTTTCAGGTTATTTATCAGTTCTAGAAGATGTGTGAAATAGAGAAGCCAGTAGTAGGCCAAAATCCTTCTTTAACAGTTTACTTTGGATTTACAATTCAGCCTACTATTCAAGTGTACAAAGTTGTCGCAAATATAACCTCAAGATTCTCTGGTTGGTTGATTGGGTGAAGCATCATTCCAGTGTGCCACAACTGCTCCGGAGTTCGATTCCTTTCTGTTCTGAGGGGGTGGTTATTCCATCCCTCCACAAAAGCCTCCAGGTCTCCCTTAAGTTTGGGAAGAAAGGTCATGTGGACAGCAAAAAGGTCTTCTGTAAAAGACGGGAAATAATTTAGTGTATTGACAGGTGAGCTTTGAACACATAACATTTAATACAAAACCATGAAATTGTGTTTTTATACATTGTCACAATAAAGTATGTGCCAACATGTTTAAAGTTGATTTAGCTATAGTTATGCTGGGTCAACAATGTTCATTTCAGTGCCCCAGACATTTTAAAGCTAGCTAATCAGTGATATTCACCAATCGTACAGGTCCCAGTACCTTACTGGTTTTCCCCATCCGTACCTCTTGAGGACACATCAAGAAGGCCATCCATCTCCAGGCTGTGTAGTGTGTTGTAGTATTTTGATGTGACACACGTTCTGACGTCACGCCGCAAACCTTCAATCCTACATATAACAGTGCATCGTTGTTAAACATCAATGATATGTTAAATTGTCTTTTGGCAAGTCAAATAAATAAATATACAAAATAGACCTTGAAGGCATATAATGAAACCTTTGATTGTGGACGCTTTTTCCTGACATGAAGCTTCCTTGATCAGTTCCCCGGACATTGAACATGTATCGGGTAATGTCCACATTCTCCACACCCTGATCAGCTCTGACCCTGTAGTGTACACACAGATGACCAAAGTTAAAACAAATCCATCTGTATTGTACATTACAAGCAATAAGTATGCATTCCCTGTCATGTTTTGTCTGTGTATGAAGACTTAACATAAAGATGATAAAAATAAATATGTTTAGCATATGAGATCACTGAAAATGCATGAAATTGTGGGACTTTTATGAGAGAAGTGGGTGCATAGAGAAAATACAATATAAACAATTGTTCTCAGTTAACCATCTGTGTCAGTACATTATAGCTTATAAAATGTACCTTAAGGGTATGCCATGCTTCTCAGTTGCTTCTTTGAAGGCAGAAAATGCTGTTAATGCACGATTGTTGGTTGCAGCTTCCAAGCACATTACCTGTGTAATTATATGAAATGTTTCCAATATATAAAAACACTTTCTTATATTCTGGCAGAGATGTTCACAAGTCTTTTTTTGCAAGTTCAAGTCTCAAGTCTTTGGTCACGAGTCCAAGTCAAGTCTCAAGTCTTTGTGGGGTGAGACTTGATCAAGTCAAGTCTTTGGTCACGAGTCCAAGTCAAGTCTCAAGTCTCTAAAAAATAAAAGTCTCATGTCTCTTCTGGTTGTAATAAGCCTTCTATTGTCTGCTGCTATCCAGTCTGTTAAGAATACTGCACAGCTATATCTAAGACATTCAAAGCATTGACTGTATTATTATCACTCCTATATCTATTAGCATACAGTATCAGTACTGATTAGTTGTTTGTTATATGATCACTTTAAACAGGCTATTGCAATGCAATATGAGGAAAAACATCACACTTTAGCTAAATGCAAACAACTTATAAGCAAAACACTTCAGAATCAGAAATCAGTATCGCAAATACTTTATTAATCCCCTGCAGGGAAACTGTGTTAAAAGTACTTAAAAAGTAAACATTTGTTCTGTGCCATTTGCAACTAAAAAACTATTGCTGCATTATTATCTGAAATATACTGAAGTGGTGATATTAAAACATGACCTGTTCCAAAAGAGATATCTACCATTAACACCATTTACCAGCCAGATGCTGGTAAATCATGCAAGTGGCTGGTACTGTATGTTGCACGCACCAGCCAAAAATAACAATGGCAATCTATTGAGTGGCTGGTAACATTTCAACATTCACTAGGCTAGCCATTTGGCCAGTGGGCAAAAATGTTAAAATTTGACCTCTGCAACCGTATTGTTTAATTACACTGTGTCTCTAATTACATCTTTTAAGTCTACTATAAATAAACATATTCCTCTATCCTCTCACTCAAACCCAGTGTAATGGTAACCTGATAAACCTGTAACATTAACGTTACGTGGTCAACAATAAACCTATAAACCGACAGATGTATTTATGTATGTAACTATGTATTTTTCTACGTTTAACGTTAGCCAGTAGATGGTGGCAGCGGAACGTAATGATTAATGTTACCGACCTTTTTTATGTCATGTCAAGAGTTGGATGTCAACGCCACTCAACGCAAACAAGTGTGACAAGCAAACATTCACTCATCTTTTCAAATATTCAGTTACAAAGCTAGTAGCAAGCTAAGTTAACATTACATAGCTGATGCTGAGCTAAACATGTTTGCTAACCGTCCATATGCGTTAATGTGACTGACCTCTCCGGGTGAGTTTTCAAGTGCCTGATGAAATTTGACGTTGTTGCACCAGTATCCTTGATTTTAATATTGCAGACTTTGCAGTGTGCGCTCCTTTTGTTGGTGCCGCCGGCGTTTTGTTCGAAGTTTTTATAGTTGAACCTAATTACAAGCGGTACAGCTGCAGGTGTGCCGCCGGTCGCCATGGTGTTACCATGATGTTAATGTTAAAGGTGGGGTAGGTAAGTTTGAGAAACCGGCTCGAGATACACTTTTTGTTATATTCCATGGAATGCTCTTAACATCCCGATAGCAATGAATATCTTAAGTGCTTTGACAAAAAATCCATAAAAACATTTCATCTGTGGAAGCCGTAATACTGTAAAAAGCACGACCAATTATTTTAGCCGGCCCGGCTATAATAACTGGATAGCCTACCTGTCTGTCAGCCTCCCATCGGGGCACAAACTTACCTTGTGCCCTCATTGGTCATGTGCGCGTTCGTGTGTGTTGGAGGAGGGGCTCTGTAAGGAAGTGGCAGATTTTCTCCGGTTGTTAATTTTCAAATTCTAGCGATCTCGAGCCGGTTTCTCAAACTTACCTACCCCACCTTTAATACGCCAAAAATAGAAAACACAATGATTGTTCACGAGTCCCAAAACACGAGTCCAATTCGAGTCCGAAGTCTTTTGAGCAGGAGTCCAAGTCAAGTCTGAAGTCTCTGTGTGTGTGACTTAAGTGCGACTCGAGTCCGAGTCACAAACTCGAGTCCCCATCTCTGTATTCTGGTCCCTGCAAATCTTAAGGAAGAGCATATTGTAATGTTTTTGTAATACTGGAACACCAGTAAAAATATAATGTACATCTGAAAGCAAAACCTACTTCGAAAGAGAATATCAAATCATAAAATAACATTTGTGTGTTATGCAATCCTACCTTCCTGGAGAAGCCATCCACTGCACCAAACAGTACAATGTTGTACCTGGTGAACAACACATAGTACAGCCCTATGTTAATAATGTCTAATTGATTTTTTGCAGAAAATATAAATATCAACTTAGAATTTAGCAAAGATATTTTAAAAGATCTCTCCAAAAGTACTAACCTGATCAGCTTGTGATTGGTATCAATATGCCACAGTGAAAGGGGGCCCCTGACAGAGTATGTTCTTCTCACAATGCAGTTCAATCCTGCAAGCCTGGATAGAATACCCAAGGAGTCAACACGGTGCATTGATGCCATCACTCTCCTCCACTGGACGTGCATCCCCATTGACAGCAGTCTGCCTTTCACCATCCTATAGCCCGCTGTTGGCATTTCAATTTTTATCCTTTGGACTGCCTGGTCCAGCTCCTGGTCAGTGGCATCAGTGTATCTTTGTCTGCTGTAAAGACGATATTCCCTCATCCGCCTCTTCACTGTACTGCTTGAGACACATAGGAACCTTGCGATGCTCTCCACGGACATATTCAGTTCCAACAGATGCTCCAGTCTCTCTTTTCAATATCGTACCTGGGACGTCCCTGGGACCCTGCTCCAGATTCAATTTCAGTGTGATGGCTTCTATCCTCAGCCTCTTCAATATAGATTTTCACCAGCCTATGAAACTCCCTTAAGGCCTGTAAGGCAAGGCAAGGCAAGTTTATTTATATAGCACTTTTCAACACAAGGCAATTCAAAGTGCTTTACAAAAAATGAAAGACATTAAGAAAATGGCATCGAAAATCAGTCATTAAAAAGAAAAGCTAATAAAATAAACATTAAAAGAAAAAATACATGGATAAAAGTTACAGTGCAGTCTAAGATATGAATAGTTCAATTAAACATTAAAAGAAAAAGTACATGGATAAAAGTTACAGTGCAGTCTAAGATATGAATAGTTCAATTAAAAGCAGCGACAAAAAGAAAAGTCTTCAGCCTGGATTTAAAAGTAGTCAGAGTTGCAGCGGACCTGCAGGTTTCTGGGAGTTTGTTCCAGATATTTGGAGCATAATAACTGAACGCTGCGTTACCATGTTTAGTTCTGACTCTGGGGACAGAAAGCTGACTAGTCCCTGAAGACCTGAGAGATCTGGATGGTTCATAATTTAGCAGGAGGTCAGAAATGAATTTGGGCCTAAACCATTCAGTGCTTTATAAACCAGCAGCAGTATTTTTAAATCTATTCTTTGACACACAGGAAGCCAGTGTAAAGACTTCAGAACAGGAGTGATGTGATCCACTTTCTTAGCGTTAGTGAGGACTCGAGCAGCAGTGTTCTGAATCAGCTGCAGCTTCCTAATAGATTTTTTAGTGAGACCTGTGAAGACACCATTACAGTAGTCGAGTCTACTGAAGATAAAAGCATGGACAAGTTTTTCCAAATCCTGCTGTGACATTAGTCTTTTAATCCTAGATATATTCTTTAGGTGATAGTAGGCTGATTTAGTAACTGTTTTAATGTGACTGTTGAAACTCAGGTCAGAGTCCATGACTACACCTAGATTTCTGGCTTTATCTGTTGTTTTGAACATTGCAGACTGAAGCTCAGCGCTAACTTTTATACGTTCTGACTTGGCTCCAAAAAGCATTACCTCAGTTTTATCTTTGTTTAATTGGAGAAAGTTCTGACACATCCAGTCATTGATTTGTTCAATGCACTTACTCAGTGTTTGAATTGGAGCATAGTCTCCTGGTGAAATTTGTACGTACATTTGTGTGTCATCTGCATAGCTATGGTAACTTATGTTGTTGTTTTTCATTATCTGAGCCAGTGGTAGCATGTAGATGTTAAAGAGAAGAGGCCCCAAGATGGAGCCTTGAGGAACCCCACATGTCATATTTGTTAACTGATGTGTATTTACCTATAGAAACAACGTTGTTTCTGTCCTTAAAGTAGGATTCAAACCAATTTAGAATTGTTTCCGAAAGTTCCACCCAGTTTTCCAGTCGGTCTAGTAATATGCTGTGGTCAACAGTGTCAAACGCAGCACTGAGATCTAATAATACTAACACTGAAGTTCTGCCACTGTCTGTGTTTAAGTGGATGTCATTAAAGACCTTTACAAGAGCAGTCTCAGTGCTGTGGTTTGGACGAAAGCCTGACTGGAACACATCGAAACAGTTATTTAAATGCAAGAAATTACTCAACTGTTGAAAAACAACTTTTTCAATGATTTTACCTAGAAATGGGAGGTTTGATATGGGCCTGTAATTGTTCATTACTGAAGCATCTAGATTATTCTTTATTAAGAGCGGTTTAATGACTGCAGTTTTCATGGCCTGTGGAAAAATACCTGAGTGAAGAGATTTGTTTACTATATGAAGTAGATCTGAGGCCATGCAAGGCAAAACATCTTTGAAAAATCCTGTTGGAATAATATCAAGGCAGCAGGAGGAGGATTTCAGAAGTTGTATAATGTCCTCTAGGTTTTTATCATTAATCTGATGGAATTGTGTCATGGTGTTTGAATTGATGTTAAGTTAGACCCTCCAGAAAAACGCGGGCAAAAATCCTTGATTATGCGATCAAACATGCGGGGTTTTATGTGATTTTATGCGGTGAAATTGCGAAATATGTAGCAGAAATGTTCGTCTGTAAATGAGATGGATTAGATTTTTTCATCTTGGTGAGGAGAAACTCTCGTGTGAGTTCCATACGTTCACTCTACGGTGTTGTTTACCTTCTGTGATGCGCGTAGACCATAGACTGTATATATAAAGGTCAAGACGAGTTAACTTTTTTTTTTCTCAATTTTGTGTGGAAAAATGCGGGGATAATGCGGCCTTTTGATAAATATGCGGCTTTTTTTAAATCGGCGCCATTTTGCTGATTATGCAGTAAATTCTGCGATCGCAGAATCGCGTTTTTCTGGAGGGTCTATTAAGTGGACACAGAGACAACACATTTGCTGTTCCTGATGCAGAGGCACTGACTGCTTGTCTGATTTTCTGAATGTTGTCAGTGAAGAAGGAGGCAAAATCATTGCACGCCCTGGTGGATATCAATTCAGAGGCTACTGACACTGGGGGTTAGTTAGTCTGTCAACGGTAGCAAACAAGGCACGTGCGTTGTTTTTGTTTTTGGTAATGATGTCAGAGAAGAACGATTGTCGTGCGTTTTTCAATTCCAAATTATAAAGGCCAAGTCTCTCTTTATAGATTTCAAAGTGAACCTGGAGATTTGTTTTTCGCCACCTGCGTTCAGCTTTTCGACACTCTTTTTTCTCTGTTCTCACGCTCATGGCCTTTCTCCATGGAGATATTTTCTTGCCAGACACTTCCTTTACCTTAGTTGGAGCAATGGCATCTATAACATTTTTAATTTTTGAATTAAAATGATCTACTAGCTCATTTACTGAGATGTTAGCAGGGGCAAGTGTGGAAGAAAAATTCTGAGTAAACATTTCCCTAGTATTTTCAGTTAAATATCGCTTTGTGGTTATCTCTTTTTGAACATTCTTGTGAACGGAAATAGAGCTCTCAAAGAAAACACAGGAATGGTCAGAGAGTGCAACATCAGTCACCACAACCTTAGAGATATTCAGACCCTTTGAGATAATTAAGTCCAGAGTGTGCCCCTTATTGTGCGTGGGCTCCGTCACATGCTGAGTCAGTCCATAGCTATCAAGAACACAAAACAGTTCTTTAGCCCCTCTGTCCTGGGGGTTGTCAACATGGATGTTAAAATCACCAACAATGACTAGACGGTCAAAGTCAATACACACTATAGACAGCAGTTCAGTAAAGTCATCAAAAAAGCTTGCACAGTATTTGGGTGGTGTATAGATATTTAGGAACAGAGCTCGAGAGGAGCATTTTTACATTACATGTCACTTGTTAGACGCTTTTTTTATCCAAAGCGACTTACATACTCAATACTGTGGGCAATCCCCACAGGAGCAATTTTCAGCTGAAGGGCCACATATTCAAAAGAAGCAAAGTTTCCATACGATGTCTTCCTGCATTGAAGGGAATCATTGAACAGAATAGCAACTCCACCCCCTTTCTTATGCATTCTTTCCTGACTCATAAAACTAAAGTTGGGAGGGGTTGATTCGATAAGAACAGCTGCACTGTTATTTTGTTCAATCCAAGTTTCTGTTAAAAACATAAAATCGAGATTGTGCTCAGTGATAAAATCATTGATTAAAAATGTTTTTCCTGCCAAAGACCTGACATTTAATAAAGCTAGTTTAAGTTTGTTAAACACACTATCAGTCATGTTTTTTGTAACAAGCTGTGGCTGACATGGAATCACTGCTAAATTAGATAAACTCACACAAACGTTTGAGCGCTTCCTGTTTCTAAGATGATTCACCGCTCTTAATATATTACCTATCAACACAGATATCGGCAAAGCTACTGGCAGGCAGGGCCCCGACATGTCCTGGAAAGAGTTGAGAGTGCCATACGCCCTTGAGCCTGGACCCAGCACATATCAGTAAGAGTTTGTTGTGTTTTGTACACACACATCCTTATCAGGCTTCGGAGACTGCAGATGCTTTCTTGAAGGGAGGGGAGGTGGTTGACGTAGGCACAGTGATGGAGACGGGGGAGATGGTGCGGGGGTAGAGGACATGCTGCCAGGTGGGGAGGTGGTTAACGTAGGCGCGGTGATGAAGACGGGGGAGATGGTGCGCGTCTCTGCAGTGATTTTGGTGGGCATCGTTGAGGAGCGGGGGTAAAGGACATGCTGCCAATCCTGCGTATCGTATTACTAGACCGACCGACCGACTGGAAAACTGGGTGGGACTTTCGGAAACAGTTCTAAATTGGTTTGAATCCTACTTAAAGGACAGAAACAACTTTGTTTCTATAGGTAAATACACATCTGAGTTGACAAATATGACATGTGGGGTTCCTCAAGGCTCCATCTTGGGGCCTCTTCTCTTAACATCTACATGCTACCACTGGCTCAGATAATGAAAAACAACAAAATAAGTTACCATAGCTATGCAGATGACACACAAATGTACGTAAAAATTTCACCAGGAGACTATGCTCCAATTCAAACACTGAGTAAGTGCATTGAACAAATCAATGACTGGATGTGTCAGAACTTTCTCCAATTAAACAAAGATAAAACTGAGGTAATGGTTTTTGGAGCCAAGTCAGAACGTATAAAAGTTAGCGCTGATCTTCAGTCTGCAATGTTCAAAACAAAAGATAAAGCCAGAAATCTAGGTGTAGTCATGGACTCTGACCTGAGTTTCAACAGTCACATTAAAACAGTTACTAAATCAGCCTACTATCACCTAAAGAATATATCTAGGATTAAAAGACTAATGTCACAGCAGGATTTGGAAAAACTTGTCCATGCTTTTATCTTCAGTAGACTCGACTACTGTAATGGTGTCTTCACAGGTCTCACTAAAAAATCTATTAGAAAGCTGCAGCTGATTCAGAACGCCGCTGCTCGAGTCCTCACTAACACTAAGAAAGTGGATCACATCACTCCTGTTCTGAAGTCTTTACACTGGCTTCCTGTGTGTTGTTAACTGTGATGGTTATTCTCGCGTCCAGGAAAGAGAAGCTTAAAAAGGAGACTAAATGGAGTCTCTGAGATGTTTTCAAATTGGTACTTTAATTAATAAAAAAAGGCACGGTAAAGTCACAAACAGGATATTTTCCAACAGAA